TATAGATGTTTGGGTCAGTTTGCTCGTACCTCAATTAATCCTTCACGCTCTAAAATTAACAATTATATAAACTTTCAATATTCCTAATATTTGTAAGACTTAAATTAGTGATCTTTAAAGAGTAAACCAAGAATCTGATTAGTTAAACTACTTCCCTCGTGTTTATGTTATTTTAGTATAGTGGGAGATAGCCAACAATGGCTATATCATAGGGAAGAGAAAGAAGTTGGCCGTCTTTTGGAGCGGCCTTCACCACCCTACCCTGACAGTATGTGCAACATAGCTTCAAGATCCTGACTATAAGATTATGTATACTATGTATATTGCATGTTGTATATGTATTAAGGATGTTTCTTTTGTTTCATTAATTTTCTTCCCATTCTAGCCAACTTTAGCAACATGCAAATATTAATTTTGGTATCTTATATGATTTATTTGTTATTCATGTGATTTGTTTTATTAAATTGTGAATCACAGATTTATGTTAAAATGCATCTTGTTTTGAATAAATTCATAGTATATTTATGATTGTCTTTCTTTTCACATTTAAATACTATTGTTTATATTGAGTTGTTTGAAATATTTGTATTTATTTTTAATGGATATGTTTGGGGTAATAATTAATTTATGGTGTATTAATGTAAATTAGATAATTAAAAGAAATAATTCAAAACCCGAGTCTTCATTAATTATTATTTTGAATATTGCCCCCGTAATAAAAAAAAAATAAGGATTATGCTTTATTGTCAAGTCAAAATTCTAAATCAATATCCTATAAATTTTTACCTCCAGTAAACATATGTATTTAGTGTAGTTGAATTTGTATAATAAATATTTTCACCATTAAATGAGATGTTTTAAAATGATTTTTATCTTCTCATTATAAAATCAAGTAGTAATTTCTTTTTTATTTCCAGCCGAATCACACAATATAATCACCGAGAAGTTGCTGGTGACATTAGTAAAAACATTCACAATCCATGGTGAATGCCCTGATATACCTTTTAATTTTAATTCTAATAGATTAACTAACATGTGAAATAGGATTCTGAAATTCAATACGGAAACTCATAGAGGTCATAGCAAAATAATAAGCTGAGATACTATGTGATGGTCAAGTGGTAAGGACTTGGGATCAAGGGGTTTGCTCCCTCTGTGGTCTCAGGTTCGAGTCCTTGGTTGCTCATATGATGGCTACCGGAGGCTTACATAGTCGTTAACTTCAGGGCCCGTGGGATTAGTCGTGGTACGCGCAAGCTGCCCAGACACCCACGTTAATCTAAAAAAAAAATAATAAGCTGAGATACTATGTGATGTCCCCGTTACTGGAATTCTTCTCACAAACATCTTGAGGAAAATGGGCTTCTCTTATGCTTTCATTTGCTCAATCAGATTCTGAACTGCTGCTGTGAAACAGCTTGTAGAAAGTATAACCTGTAGGCTAAATGAACAAGCAAGCAAACTGGATTTAAGCCCCCAAAATCACCCGAATGGTTTTAAACTGGTTAACCTGTGTTGAAGGCAGCATTACAAATGATCCCCTGTGTAGATGAGGTCCCTATCATGCACAGAATTAAAACTTAAATTTGCTCTGCTCTCATGGATTCCAAGTGCCTAATATATTAGTGCACTGCTCTCAGCATCAATACCATGTCATCATCCTCGATCACTTCGGTGACAGTCCTCATAGTTTAACATAAACTGTTATTTATGAACAAATCACCACGCACTAAGAGATTCCATGGTAATATAGCTATTACATTAGGTAGGTATATTCTTGTTCATAACTTAATCAGAAAACGAATTTCCAACAGTGGGTAGGAGTTTTCATGAGAGATCTGGCATGCCACGTCAAAGGACACGCCATCTTGGTGCTTCCTCCACCAGGAATTAAATGTGGAGTGAAGTATGCTTCAACATTTTTGCTGCCATACTTCAGAAAATATAACTTCTAGCCAATAAGCTACGGAAAGATATGCACAATGCTTCCTAATGCAAATGTTAAGCCATAAATTTTATTTGATTAAAAGCTCATTGATATCTGCTTGTCAATACTGTTGTTGTTAGTACTATATAATTAAGCATGAGAGAAAGTTGACACGGTGTGGAAAGAGAAGCAACTTTTGATAGTTGGATGTGCTTTTCAAATCAGTGCATTTGTGGACTGGGAAAGCTCCTAGCATGCATTAGGAGGTAAGTGTTCCTTCCATTCAAGTGAAATAAGCACAGGCCACTTAAAAGCCTTGCTTAATTCCTTGAACCGTGATTTACAAGTTTTATAATAGGGAAAACTTGAATAGTCCAAGTCATGACCTAATTTGTAGGGATGATGTTATAAAATTCAACATGTATAAATAAAATGTTATTTAGTATTCGGGATGGTGGTTGATTAATATATTTATGTATATGAACTTCCTCTTCTTAATTTAAAGAACTTCATATTTATAATAGAAATTTTGATTACTTATAAAAATAGCTCCAATAGGAGAGATTTAAAATATCTGATAAAGTTAATATTTTTATAAAAAATATATTAAATAACTTAAAAAAACTTTAATTTTTATGAACAAAGATATTTCTTCTTCAGTTTTATTTTTGTTAATACTATAAAATCTAAATATTTTTATTTTAAGAGATGAGAAGTTGTGAATCCTTTATCTAGATGGTTTAGGGGGTATTTATACCCTCTAAATCTTGTTATTTTTATAAAAAAAAAATCCTCTATTTTTGACGATATTAATAAGAAGTAAATATCTTTTATATATCATTAATGAGATAATAAATATGAAAGACCCTTTAAGAGACCTTATTACACCTATAAATATAGAAAAATCATTATCTTAGTATAAACAATTATTTTAGATGGAGAGACATTATAGTTTATTATGTCTTAAACACTTATATTATATAGAATTGTCTATGATCAGGTATAAAGTTTTAAAATTTAATAATATTTAAGTTGTTTAGATCTGACATGTTTACTAGACTTATGTTACATTGAATTTAATTGGCTATCAAATACAAATATCTCAGGTCTAACATATTTATTAGATTTATATTATCTTAAACTTAACTAACTATTAAGTCCAAGCATTTCAAATCCAGTATATTATACCGGATCCACTTTACTTTGAACTTGATAGACTATAAAGTTCAAATGTTTTGGATCTATCATGTTTGTCAGGTCTATATTATCTTAGATTTAACTGATTGTCAAGTGTCGTAGACTCGGTGAATTACCCAATTCAAGTGTTTTAGGTCTAGCATGTTGATCAATTATATTACTTTGAACTTGATGAATTATCAAGTCTAAATAATTTGGATGTGGTATATTTTTTGGATTTATGTTATCTTAAACTTGATTGATTATTGTGTCTAAGTATCTTGAATATGGGCAAAAGCATTTGATTTAATAAAAATCTTAACAGAAAGTTAATTCATATGGATATGCTGCAGTATTTAACAAATGGTAATTAACAGCTGCAACTTATTTGCAGTTTCAAAAGGCATGTCAAGACCACCTGCTGTGCTTGCCCTATTCCACCTTAAAAATGATGGGAAATACTAGAGTTTCTAGATTCATATTGGACTCTCCACTTTGGCTGAAAGCCGCTAATTAAAAGAAGGTTTCACAGCAAGCTCATGAGAATTATGAATCTCTTTCGTTCGTACGCACGCGTGTCCTGTTGTATGTACGTAGGAGATTGAGAAGCTGTAGTATTCTCCAGTAGATCAAAAAGGGAAAAACCCGGGGCTTTGGCTCCGCGTTCTACAGAACGTAGAAAGCCTGCTTATGGAATACATAAGAGAAGACCTAATAAAATAGTCTGATGATTATACCTACTTTTTCTATGAAATCTAGTTATCTAGATGTGAATTGTAAGCAATTCGGTCATGTAGAGAGGGGCAGAGATGCATTCGTCGTTGTTCCTTTCTGGAAAGCAGAAGCATTAACAGGTCATTTCCCCCTCAAGTGGATAAAATAAGTGAAACATGACACTCTCTACAGCACAGAAACAAGTTGATTACACTAATATTCTGGACTTGAAAATGCATGCAAATGTTTGTCTGGTATAAGATTAATACTTTACCATGCATATCGTCGGAAACAAATTTTGACTCTGCTAAGTTCTATTTTCCAAACAAATAACCATAATTTTCGTGTCGATCTTACAAGAAAACGTACAAGCACTGGGATAGAGCATAGGGCATTTGCCTTTACAAAATAGAAAAGTAGCATAGGACCACAATGGCAATTTCTAAATTAGGATGATCAAAGATCCCACATCAGAAATATCTGTATATATAAAAATGATTTTTCTTATGATGGTGGTGCTGAGTTCTAATTTTCTTATCTATAGGAGACAGACCTGGGAGGAGTCTGATCAAAGATCCACTTAGAAGAAACATTGAACTGTAGAACACAAAATTTGAGCTTCCTATGATCCAAATCATCATCGCATGGCGTTCGACTTTTCATTTCTGGGACACAAATGTCAACCGATATATCCTAAATTTTGTTGAGGTCACAAGAACCTCAAGTCTCCCTCTATAGCAGAAATGGCTTAATGAAGACATCAAGGATGAGGTTAACGACCTTATTTTGTCAATAATATAATAAATAAAATTCTTTACATTAAAGTGAGCACATGTAAGAGAGAGAGAGGGATTTTTCTATAATCACAACTTTACCTACCAAAAAAGAATTAAAAACGATCCTCTGGAATTCCCATGTCATTGGATTTTTTTTTCTATTTTGTTTTATAAACAAATTCAGTGCAAAGTAACAAATGCCTCCTTTATATACACACTCACACACTTCAATAGTCAGCAACATTTTCATCCAATCCAAGCATCACCTTCCAATTCCACGGAAACAGGGTGCTTTGCAACTAGCTCATTTCCTGGTCTCTACTGCAGCATTCCCTAGTATCACCTATCTCGTCTATCTCATTCCAAGGCATCCCATCATTTACTACATAGTTGTGTCCACCGTGAAAGTGTAAAATATGGCTCATCAGGAGAAGGCAACAAGTGGAGTGGAGTGGAGAATAACTTTGGGAGATGGGTCATCAAAGAGTCTGGTCCCAGATGCAGGGCCTGTCAGCAGAATATGGATAGGGCTAAAGGGTTTGATAGCAGGGTTGGTTTTGAAAGTATGGAAGTTTTTAAAGAGAGCAGGGGATATAGGGGTAGATGACCCTAGAAAAGTGATCCATTGTCTAAAAGTAGGAATGGCACTCACTGTTGTCTCACTCTTTTACTACATGAGACCTCTGTATAAAGGTGTGGGTGGAAATGCTATGTGGGCTATAATGACGGTTGTGGTAGTCTTTGAAAATACTGTAGGTAAGTACTCCAAATTTGTTGAAACATTGAATCATCAATGTCCAAGTTTCTGTAATATATCATCATTCATGGTCATTGGCCCACCCTACTATTTGATGGTCAAGCATCGAAGGAAAACAAAGAACTAGTTCTTTTTGTATGGATTCTGCAATATTCCTTGAGCTAGTGACCTAAAAGGCGAGGCCATTTTACATTAATCTTTGGGTTTAACCTGATTATTATTCTGCAGGTGCAACGATATGCAAAAGTTTGAATAGAGTGTTTGGAACAACTCTTGCTGGCTTTCTTGCCTTTGGTGTCCATTGGGTGGCTAGTCAGTCAGGACAGGAATTTGAGCCCTTAATCACTGGAGCTTCAGTTTTCTTGTTAGGTGTGCATCGATGAACTAACATTTTATTACAAGTTAATTTACAAAATGAAAACAAAGACAACTAGCTAATCAAGTGTTAAATATCTTTCTCTTCAGCTTCTACCGCAACCTTCTCTAGATTTATTCCCTCAGTGAAAGCTCGGTTTGATTATGGTGCCATGATCTTTATCCTCACTTTCAGTCTTGTCACTGTGTCTGGTTATCGAGTGGATAAATTGTTTGATATGGCTCATCAAAGAATATCTACCATTATCATCGGAACTTCTTTATGCATTCTTGTTACCATGTTTATTTGCCCCATCTGGGCTGGCGGGGAGCTGCATATTCTTATCAGCAACAACATGGACAAACTTGCCAATTCTTTAGTTGGTATGTGACGTGCAAGACAGACACTTTGAGATGAGTATTTTCCAGTTTCACAAATAATTTATCAAATCCACCACGTTTCAGGTTGTGTAGATGAGCATTTCAATTACAATGGTGAACTGAAAGACAGCGATAAACAACCTGACAAGAAATTGCTTGGTTACAAATGTGTGCTCAGTTCCAAGGCCACAGAGGAATCCATAGTATGCACGGAACTTGCCAAAAACAAAAAGAGCAAACATGAAATTTCTCAGAATATTTGACTGAAGCTGTGGATAGCACTGTTTTCCTTACAGGCCAAATTTGCTAGATGGGAGCCTGCGCATGGCCGCTTCAACTTCAAACATCCATGGCAACAATACCTTAAAATTGGTGCATCAATGCGCAGCTGCGCTTACTGTGTTGAGGCTCTTAACAGGTGCATTGATTCAGAAAATCAGGTAACAAATTTTCGCACACTCTTCCTTGATACTTTTTAAGCCAATGTTTTTATTTTCCTGACAGATTCCCCGCGTACTTCAATGTCTGAAAACAGGCCCCTGAGTTCACAAAGAAGCATCTGAGCAATATTTGCCTGAAAGTGAGCTCCAACTCTTCCAGTGTTATAAAAGAGGTAGCAAAAACTATCAAGACAATGAAAAGATCACCCTCCATAGATTCCTTGGTTGAAGAAATGAGGAGTGCAGTGCAGGATCTGCAAAATGAATTAAATTTTCTTCCTAAGGTGCTGAGTCCTCCAGAAGTATTACATCCTGAAAGCAAGGAAACAGAAGAAACAACCTCCTCCACAACCCATCTCCTGGAAGTTATTCCAGTGGTAACTTTTGCTTCGTTAATGATAGAAATCTCTTCAAGGATCCAAGCTATTGTAGAAACGGTGGAAGAACTAGCTGAGTTAGCTGAGTTCAAGGGTGAAGTTCAGGAGAAGGCCAAACAAAATCAACCGAATACTAATAGAATTGTAGCAAGTCAGCTAAATGATGATCAGCAAACTATGAAGGCTCTTGAAAGGGTCTGATCAGTTTCCATATCAGTATCAGTGGAAAAGGAAACATTTAGACAGGATGGATGCAGTGTAATAAATGCTCAATGTAGCAATGCACATGAACTTATAAAAGCTAGTCAGCTCACAGGACTACTTTAATTCTAGTTACCAGGTTAACGTCAACCATGCAAATTGGAATTCATCTGTCAACTTGTATTCTTCAAAATTTGCATAATATATATATATCAAATCAAACAAAAGATTTTTACCTGTGATCAGTATTGTGATAACTTTTGTAATTATAATTTTAAAAAAATTATTTTATAAAAATTATTTTTAATTGATATTAATCTGTTAAAATATATGTTTAGTTAAAATATATGTTTAGTTAAAATTAAGATTAAATAAAAAATTATTTAATATATTTAATTAAAAATACCTTTAAAATTAAAATTATAAAATAATATATATATATATATATATATATATATATATATATTTTGATAGTTTTTAATATTGAACACTTAAATTATTATTATTATATTATAAAATTATTTATATAAAATATTTATAATTATTTTATTAAATTATTTATAATTTCATTGTATATAAAATATATCCAATAAAAATTATAATTTTTATAATTTTTGATCTTGCAGTAATAAAACAACATCAACTAAAATATTATAGGATCAAAATTGGGAGGTGGGGATATGGAGAGCCCTTGCATAAAGCAAAACGAGCCTCCCGAGAACGAGAGGGCAATTTTGGAACGTTAAGAACAATATCAACACGGAGATTTCCCAGGGTGGCAACGTCAATGTTTTCGATACCAACACTCCTCACTTTCCAGTCATGAACGACAGCATCTTTCCCGTTTGAAGGTCCAAGCGAAGCCGAGCCATGACTGGGGACAGATAGTTGGGTTCCTTTATAGATGAAAACGGGGTTGTGGTAGATGGATCCTCCAGTTTTTGAGGTGGTAAAGGGAGGACAAACTATCGGTGGAGTTATGCATTCAGGAGCTGAACTGGAAGGAGATTGAGAGTGGAGAGAAGAAAGGAAAGTAACGGAAATGAGAGGAGGGAAATGGAAGGAAAATGAGATGAATGAATTTGCCTCGAGTTGTAGGGAAGGGAGTGGTTAAGTGGAGAGTAGAGACCGCTGCAACTTTCTTCGTCAAGAGTTGTTTGGGTGGGGATTTTGACATCATTGTCTTCAACTGTGTCCCTCAGACCAAAGAGAGAAGCAGAGGAGGAGAGAATCCAGCAAGCAAAACGAACAGAGAAGAGGAGGCAGCATTGGTTAACCAGCCCATTCCTCGCCATCATCTGTCAAGCAGCAGCTTTTTTGCTAACCTGCGGTTGAAATATTAAATAATAATAGGTTCCACAAACAATAATTCGTGTTTAATTATAATATGATTTGTTTTAAACGCAGAAACAGATAAGGGGGAGCCTTTCACAAGGCTCCGTTGGGCTGTAGCCCAGGTAGGATAATAATAAAAAAAAAAAACTCAAAAAAAAACTCTGGTGGGCCAAACATCTTCCAAGTCATCAATGCTATAATAAAAAAAAAACTCAAAAAAAAACTCTGGTTGGCCAAACATCTTCCAAGTCATCAATGCTGCAGTCATCCAGTTACTTTTCTTCGCCATAGCCAACCATATGTTCACAAGTGTTGGTGATGATGCCTCCTATTTTAAGTCCTTTAGCACCTCACTTATCAGGCTAGTACCTTGCCAAACCATATATGTTTTGATCTCCGGAGACCGATCATGTGGCTGATATTATACGGCAGCCTAAGCTTATCAAGGCGCACAAAATGCACCATTTGATAGCACTACAACCAGGGGTGGGGTGAAGGCATGTTAAAGGTTTGGATGGGCTCCTAGGTGTAGATTTTATCAAATGTTAAATATTAACTAGTTTTATGTATAAAAAAATTTATAATTCTTAATTAAGTTATTAAAAGATTCTAAAAATTTACGTGGATTATTCTAATATGATATTTTAGTTTAGGTTAAAATTTTAAATTTTTTGAAAAAATTCAGAAATTTAATAAAAAATCACACTTTGACTAGTTTTATATTATTGGACTTAATTTTTAATCCGACTATCAAATTGAGTTTAAATTTTATAATGGATCTTAAAATATATTAAATAAAATTTGATTAAAATTTTAGGATAAACAGTGCTTGGTAATACTAATAAAAAAATTATCAAATAAAAATAAAATGACTCGTTTAAAGTAAAATTATTATTTACCATTAAAAATAAAAAAAAAATCAATTCTTCCTTCATTTTACATGTTGCAAACTGGGCAAAAGCATAGTATGGAAAAAAAAGTGAGAGAGAAAAGTAAGGGAAAAATTTTAAAAAAATCCAAGAAACAAAATAAAAAAATAAGAAAATAACCTTATAAATAAACTTATAAAGCACCAATCTAAGGAATAAGAAAATAACCTTATGAATAAACTTATAAAGCACCAATCTAAGGAATAATCAAGTGAAGGATGGAGGAATTGAGAGAGAGAAAAATTTAATTGCTTTGTTTTTCAATTAATATAAAATTATTATTTTATCTCGGTTGAAAGGTTATTATAATATCAATTTAGACTTGATTATAGATTAATTATATTTCATAAAATATTGAAAAATATAACTTTAATAGTGAGTTTATTTTTTTCACTTTAATTTTATATATTTTTAATTTTTTTAATATTTTAAAAATCTATTTAAATTAAAATTTTATTGTTAATTTTAAAAATCTATATATTTATTTGATAGCTTAGAATAAGAAAAAATTGTAGCTACAACCATGCTTGTTACTTAGGGTGTGTTTAGTATTGTGATGACTGTTGTGGTTATGGTTTGAAAAAAGTTGTTTTATAAAAAATACTTTTAGTTGAGGTTGGTTTGGAAAAATATATATTTGATTAAAATTGTGGTTGAAATTGAGGTTAGATAAAAAGTAGTTTAATGTGTTTGGTTAAAAATGCTTTGAAATTGAGGTTATAAAATAATTTTTTAAAATATATATTAATATTTATGGTTTTTAATTTAAATATTGTAAATTTAACTATTACTATTACATCATGAAATAAATTATACTTTATATAAAATATTTTTTATTGTTCCATTAAATTATCTACAATTCCATTACGTATAAAATTCATCCGACAATAACTACAATTTCCATAATCTTTCGAGCATATAATAAAATTAGATAAAATATTATTGGGAATAAAATTGAGATTATGGCACGAGTAAATTTAATTCATCTTAAACTATTAGGTGAAATATTATTAGAAATAAAATTGAGATTATGGTATGAGTAAATTTAATTCATCTTAAATTATTTTTAAAAAAAATTATTATTCATATTTACACAATATGAACAGTATAAGTAAAATCAATTTACTGCACCAATTATCCACATAAACAAAACAATAACCCATAAATTAATTCACCTGGCACTGTTCACATGAATAGCCCCAAGTGAATCTACTTGGCAATGTGTAGATGATGATGATTGCCCACAAAATACCTCTATTTGAGCCGAGAATAAAGGAAGTAAGCATATCAAATTGGGTGGGCTCTTGAGTTTTACTTTTCCTCGGCAGTAGACAGGCAAAAATAAATTAAAAAGCAATAATTTTTTATTTCATAAAACTGGTGATATAAACTTAATTTTTAGTAGTACTCATCTTTAAAATTTATATTTCAAATATTTACTAAACTATTAAAAATTATAATTAAAATAAAATACAATTTCAATCACAATACCATACACACAGCACCTTGTGATTGTATATTATTGTCGGAAACTTTCTTTTTCATGCGAAAATCTATGGCTTTTTTTACGGCCAAAAATAATAGAGATGGGTCAGCTTCAGCATCACGTTGGCCCATTTTTTATTGGTCTCAGGCCCATTTCTTGTCAATTTCAATTAACCGCCAAACAAGTTAAGCCCAGAGACCCAAAACTCTGTTTTACAAAAGAATTCTAAATCCAGGACTTTTCCAGGGTTTTCGAAACCGCCATTAAAATCGACTCTCTCTCTCCTCACAGTAACATTCCACCTCTCCCTCTCTCTGGATTTTGTTTTGATTTCGTGTTCGTGATTATAATTAAAAATGGCAGACACAGCTCTTATCTCGGAGAAACCTTCAAATCCTTCCCATCCTCCTCCTCGCTTCATCGGCCACGTGTATGTCCTTGATTTCTTCTTCAATTACCGCCACTAAGTTGTTCGTAATCTAACTTAATTTTCAAATTGAGTCGGTGCCAGAAGCAATTTTCACACTACACCTGTCCTCGATGCAATTCTCGCTCCCCCCCCACCCTGCTATAAGGTAAATAAAAAGGTGTTTTCTTTCTCTTTTTTAATGATTGATTTTGTGATAATTGATTTTGCCATAAGGTGTTTTCCCTATTTTTTGATAATTGCGGAGGGTATACAAAACAAGCTCTCTCTCTCTCTCTCTCTTCCCCCCTCCTCATTATAGTGTAGAATAACTGTCCTCTAACATGGATTTTCTGGGTTGGCATGCACTTGTGTTTCAGTAAAATAGAATTGTGAACTCTTGAGAATAGGTTTGTACATAATTATTGCAATGATTTGACATGTTATAAATAGCTAACTTTCCAATTGCAATATAAGGGATTTTACCTGATTTTTCTCTTATTTTATTTGTTGATAGATTCTGTTCTTTCTGAGGAGACTGTTCAGAAGGTGTTATCTGGTATGTTTTTGTGTTCTTTCTTTTTTAAATTGTGGCATCTAATTGATTCTTCTTTTCTTATCATTCAGTACCTCTGATATTTTCATTTCCTTTTCAACCGATTTTTCTAACTCCTTGGGTTGTAGTTAGAGTACTATTTAACGCGTGTGCTCTGATGCTTTCACCCAGGAAGCTGACAGAATTCATATATTGTTCTTCATTGCAGGTGGTCCAATCAATTTTGATGATTTCTCGGCAGAAGAGAAGAAACATTTCCGAAGAGCTGTGGCATCTGGAGAACTCAGCAAGCTGGTCGAGTCATGGGATCCATGGTGGTTGAAGTCTTCTGCTAGAACTATCTTTCTTGGCAAGGAAGGAACCAGACTTGCTCAGCCACATACCGAAGAGGAAGCATCATCATCACATGATGGTGCAGGGCACCAACCTAGTGAGATTCCTCCTGTCCCCGATACCTCGTTACCTCCTGTCAGGAAACTTGTTTCTAGAGAGCCATCACCCTTCTTATCCTATCACTTGGCTGACATTATGTATAGCTACTGCTTCACACAACGTCTCTACAATGGAGACAGGCAATCAGATGCCATAGGGTCAGAAACAGTGGTATTGAGTGTCTCCTCTGTCTTAGGTCAAGCTCGGCAGCCAGAAACCGTGCTGGAAGCTCTCTCATATTGTTTGGAGAGAACTTGCTCCCCTGAGTATAGACACATGGGTAGACTGCAACTTGGACTGGGTCTCGTCGATGATGTAATACTCGTGATGTCACCTGGTGGCCATGCTTTAATCTGCTTGCTCAGTGATCTACAGAAGATGGTTCAAGCTGGGGAAAAGGAGCTGAAAGCTGAGAAAACGAGAAAATCAAAGTCAGAAATCCGGAGTAAAGCTGAAACTTGCCGAGAGGAAGGTCTGTGCATAATGTGTTGGGTGCATGAGCAGCCAGGGGAAGCCTGGTCCTCGTTAGCCGCCATCGTAAGGGCAGAAAAAATGGATTATAGAGGAGGTAAAAATCTTCCAGCGGCCAAAAAATAAAACAGAATCTGGGGAAGGCTTTTTTTTTTTTAACTTTTTTATGTTTTTTCTAGAAAGTTTTAATATGATAATATTAAAAATAAATAAATAAACATACCCGCCATCATCTTCTTACCCTCCTAATTTATTTATTTTTCGCCATTCCCTCATTGCACTGAACACAAGATGACACTGCAGCCCTCTGCGATTCAGTGGAGTATGTTTTGAATTTATTAGGTTGATAAAACGAGTTCTACAATTTTACAAGCCATTTTGCATTTTATTTGATAGTTAACGGATCTATTTCTGTTATATATATATATATATGTGTGTGTGTGTGTGTGTGTGTGTGTATCAAATGGATTTATTTTCGTTTGCTCAAGTATGCACAAATTGATCCTGTAAATAAAATAAAATTTTGAAGAAAATTAAAAAAAAAATAGCTAATTTCATTTCTATTATATCTGCATCGAAATATTATCTCCATTGTAACATTCGACGGAGAGGATTTTTTTTTTTCAAGAAAAAAATAAAAAAAAAATTAATTTGGTCTTGAATACAGTATAAGATGATGCTAATTTAACTCTCTTTTTTTAAAGCACGAATTTGGGAGCGGAATTACATGGTTATTGCAGGGCTTTTTGACTTTAATTTGCAAAAGTTGACATATGAAGTTTGATTTAAGTAATAAATGAAAAGTTATTTTTATAAGCAATTTATTAAAAACAACAGAGTTGTAACAATACAATTAAAAACTCGGGGTGAAATGGCTATTTATATAAATAATAAATTTTTAAATTTTTTTTGTAATTTTTTTTTTAATTTAATCATTAATATTAAATTAATTTAAAATTAAACTTATTGATGTGTTTCAGCTGGCTTTGCATGCATCTTTATTATTTTGAGAAACAAATCCAATACTAGATTAATGCTTGATTTGGTAAAATGAAAGTCAATTTTATTAAAAAAAAATTTAATTGAGTTCTTCCACACTATTTTTTTATCACTTTACTGTTTTTTTTAATTGAATCTTTTTATATTTTATTAATTTAGGGTTAGGTTTAATGATTTATTTTGATTGTTTTAATAGGAATCCTCATAATATCATAAAGCAAATCTGATACTCAGATAATACTTGATATGGAAAAATTAAATTTAGTTTTGATTTTGTTTTTCAATTAAATCCTATTGTGATCAATTTAATGGGTTATTAGTAAAATTTATAATAGAAAAATAAAACTAAAAAAAGAACCAAGATGGAAAAGGTAGGGAATTATATGACCAATCTAAAATTCACGCAAAGAATAGTTTAAAAATTTATTTTATTTATTTTTCGGTTACTAAGTTATAAGTCACCGAGACGAGAATCTAACTAAAAATGATAAAAAAGAGAAATAATGGTGCGCGCGCGCGCGCCCGTGTGGGTGTGAATAAAAACAGAAACTATTTAATTAAGTAATTTAATCAATGACAACAGATGGTCTCTCTGAACACACACAGATGTTTAAAGAGAAAAGAATGATGGCATTCTTGTAATTTTGAAGACAACCACGCCCATAATGGTAATAACAATCCAAAAACTATATGAATATAATCGATCGAACGCATGCCAATCTCCCTTCTCTGTCGTCACTGATCACCATATTCATCCTTGCCTCCACTCCCATTGTTTTCCCCCAAAATCAACCTAAACTTCCTTTAAAAAAACCCTAATAACACAAATCGGAGATTCAATAATGGTTGATGTAGCAGATAAATTAGCCTATTTTCGAGCAATTACAGGCCTGGAAGATTCCGATTTATGCACCGAAATCCTCCAAGCCCATAATTGGGACCTCGAACTTGCCATCTCCTCTTTCACCTCCAACCACTCCGATAATCATCCCTTTTCTTCCTCTTACGCCGCCACCGACACCACTACCACCGTCGGAGACCCGTCAAATGCGACCATTCACCGCTCCGATCCCACCTCCATCGTTCCCGCGGGCGCCCCTCCTCCTGGTTTGGCCTGGAAAATTGTTACTTTACCTATATCAGTCATTTCTGGTAGTTTAGGGTTCATTTCTGGTGCAGTGGGGTTTGGATTATGGGCTGCTGGTGGTGTCTTGTCGTATTCGTTAGGTTTTATTGGGTTGGGATCGAATTCTGGCCGGGGTGGGGATTCGTCGGCCCAATTGGTAACTGTTTCTGCTGCGTCGAGAGAAGCGATAGAGTTTGTTGCTCAATTTGAGAGGGATTATGGTTCTGGTTCTTCTACTAGGCCGAATTTTGTCGGTGAAGGGTTTATGGATGCGTTGACGAGATCGAGGAATACTTTTAAGTTGTTGTTTGTGTATTTGCATTCGCCGGATCATCTTGATACGCCCGCGTTTTGTGAGGGGACATTGTGTTCGGAGGTTCTTAGTGCTTTTGTTAATGAGAATTTTGTTGCATGGGGTGGGAGTATTAGAGGGAGTGAAGGGTTTAAGATGAGTAATAGTTTGAAGGCTTCGAGGTTTCCATTTTGTGCTGTTGTTATGTCTTCTACGAATCAGAGGATTGTGTTGCTTGAACACGTAATTCTTTTCTTTTTTGTTTGTGTGGTGATTTAATTTGTCACGTTGAATGATTTCGATGAGTTATACGTGCTTTTATTTTGACTATGATTGTGGTTGAATTTATTGTTGAATGAGGATAATTAGATTTGCTTATGCGAATGCTACTAGTGAAGTAGATAGTGTTGTGTGTTGGAGGGAAGAGGGAAGAGGGGATTCTAAGCATTTTATGTATTTTTTTTACTTGGGATTTTATTGATTGTTAGAAATTCATTTCAAGTTTCGCTCTAAGAAAAGCCTGTTTTTGTAGATAGTACCTTGTTCCAACTTTGCACTAGAAAGTTCTAAAGGTAATTGAATTTGGGGATGGTCCTTCGGAATTGTGATTTCTTTTTTCCCAGATATGGTTACTGCAATGGAACCCTGATATTATGCAGTAGGATTGGTTTATTTCTTCTACATAGTTTCTTGGGAACTTGGTATTGTTGGCTTTGCAGTGTCCTACTTTCTTGTTTGATATCCTATTTGTAGATTTCATTTTGTAATTTCATTGTGATGGTAGGTCCTTGTGCATCTTTTCACAAAAGTTCTTGTTACGATGGGGTGCAATTAATGCACTCTCCACTCCAGTATTGAGCTTTCCCTGCGTATGTTGCAATTGCATGGGTTTATCCTACCCTTCTATATATGAATGTTCCTGCCTCTTTTTCAGTACAGCTGGCTCAATTTTTCCCACAGAATTCTCTGGTTTAGTTGTAGAGCTTTTAATTACTTCTTGTTCGTCATCTGTGTCAACCACTGAAACATTTGCTGAATATTTAGGTATCCCAATTCATAAGTCGGCTAGATTTTAGTTTGACAGTTTATGGGTCTTAAATAGACCCAACATGTTTGATTGTGTGGTTGCCTAGTAGTTTTATGATGACAACTATGTTGCATCTTTCTATTGATATATAGGTTGAGGGTCCAAAATCTCCTGAAGAAATGCTCGTGATACTACAGAGAGTTCTTGAACAAAGTGCCCCTGTTCTTGTGACAGCAAGACTTGAAGCAGAAGAGAGAACAACCAACATGCGTTTGAGGGAGGAGCAAGATGCTGCATACAGAGCGGCACTTGAAGCTGATCAGGTAAGTTTTTTTAACACACACACACACATATATATATATATATGTATATATATAATAACTTGAGCAGTTAGTTTATATTGTGTTACAGTTGATCAGATGCGACCTTTTCTTTTCTTTTTTTCCTTGATCCTTTTTTTTCTTTTTTCTTTCTCTCTTTTTTATTTTTTTTATTTTTGTGGTGATGATGATTTTCTACTTGCCTTTGTATTTATATTCTTTTATGCACAGGCCAGAGAACGACAACAGAGAGAGGAACAAGAACGTCTAGAAAGGGAAGCTGCTGAGGCAGAGAGAAAGCGCAAGGAGGAAGAAGAGGCTCGGGATAGAGCAGCAAGTGAGGCTGCTGAAAAAGAGGCTGCTCTGGCAAGAATGCGGCAAGAGAAAGCCCTTTCACTTGGTGCCGAACCTGAAAAAGGACCTGATGTCACACAAGTAAAGTCTCTCTCTGTTTTATTGATCACTTTTTTTTTATGATGCTGTTATCTATAATCTTTTCAATGTTTAGGAGTTCAGGATGATTACTTATTTTTATATATTACAAGTAATAGTACTTGTTCTGACCTGGTCTTAGTTTTGCGAGGTTTTTTTTTAATGTGGTGTAAGCCATTTAGTTTTGAACCTATCAAATATGACTTTCTAATCCTTATGTTGTCTTTACGCTAGTTGGCATGCAAATCTTTTGGATCTAGTCCATGACTTTCAATGTACCTTTATTAATCAGGTTTTGGTTCGATTCCCAACTGGAGAACGCAAAGAGAGGAGGTTCCACAGTGCAGTCACTATCCAGTCTCTATATGATTATGTTGATTCTTTGGGTTCCTTAAATGTCGAGAATTACAGTCTTGTCTCAAACTTTCCCCGAGTTGTCTATGGTACAGATAAGGTCTCTCTATCTCTGAAAGAAGCAGGTTTGCACCCTCAAGCCAGCCTTTTTGTGGAGCTGAACTAGAGCAGTGTGATGCCAGGTAGTGTTGACAATCAAGAGCAGCCCAAGGCAGGACCCTCAGGTAGGATACTTTGTTGTGTTTCCCTTCCAGATTCAACTTGATCTGCAATGATAGGCAGACAAGATACCTTGATCTCTATTTGATGTTCCGTTTTCCTTCAATTGCTATCTTCAATCAAAAAAATGGAGTCGAGGTGGAAAGTAGGATTGAAATAATGATACTGATTTTGCACATATATCAATCTGAAAAACTCTAGTAGCTTACCGTTATTGATAGCCAAGAGTGGATTGAGTTCTGTTGATTTCCAATTTCACTCAACTGCTTTGTCATGTGCTGTTGATGGAATGTAAGGCTTGTGAAATGCAAGCTGGATTACTTGAGAAACTTGTTTCAGTAACTGGTTTCAAGTGTAAACGGAGAGCGCTGTTTTCATGCTCGAAAGTGTTGAGTGCGCATGATTATGGGAGCATATTTGACGAGGGACAACTACAAAATTGAAAAAAATAAAGTAGAGAGGGGAGAAAAATAAAGCCAAGAAAAGGTGATGAAGAGGAGAGAGAAAAGAGCTGAAGAAGAGAGAGAGAGATTAGGAGAGGAAAACAAAACAAAAAATTAAATGCATTGCCCTATTTATATAAATCAACTTGTAATTCATTATTTACTTGAAATTGTTTTATAATCTCAGTTGGTTCA